AAGGGCATATCTTGTTGCCAATCGTCCATATATTTCGCAACTTTTTCTGACACTTCGAAGAACTTTTATGAGCATGGCAGGAAGATTGTGTTGATGGTGAGGATCTGAGGGTGCCGACCTGTGGGCATCACTTCCACGCTTCTTGTGTTGGAAGATGGCTAGCTCAGAAGAACGTCTTCCCAATCTATAAGAAGGCGTTCTTGTCTAGATGAGTCATGACTCTGGTTGCTCCTTTCAACGGCGAGCCATGAAAAATGTGGTGGTATTTTTGACGTCCCTTAATTTGAACCAGCGTATGAGAAGCATTATTCATGTATAGACTAGTGAAACATTTTCAAAGAAATTAACTTTTTCAACTTCATTCATAACTAATGACCAATGTGATGGTCCCTGGTTTCCTAGGAGGCAAATATAGAAGGGGGTGAATTGATTTTTAATATATCAAACATCATATTTTCATTTTTAAATTTTTAGTCACTTTCCTATGATTACTCTAACCAGATATTAAGAAAGAGGCAAGCAGAACACCTTTTGCCGACATTCACTTCTATTATCATAATCTTGGTTTGACTATTCTACTTTGTAGAATACAACTGATTTACAGGAGATTAGAAACCCCTTATATGATATCGACACATGCAATGTGTTAACTTGATAGAATACAATGTTTACGATATCTTATCTTGACCTTAATGTAGGCACACTATAGCTGCCTCAATTTTATATGATCTATAGTTAATGAAACAAAATTGCTTAATTATATTTTATCGGTACCTTCTAGTGATTTTGAATAATTTGGCTCCCACCAATGGGATATCTCTGCAGAATCATGCAAAAAAAATTTACAAATTTTAAAATCCATATTTAAACAAAGCATTGAATTTTTATCATCTTTTTGATGCATTGATTTTCTCTTCCTTTTATCTTTTCAATTAATATTTTCAACCGAGTTTCTAGAATCTAAATATGAACACAAAGGTTTTAGTTAAATGTAGTTATAACATGATAATAATTTATTTCAATTCAACCAAAGTTAATAGTGCATTCATGATACCTCAAAATACATAATAAAAAAAAACTTGCCACATTATACTTTAAAAAAACTTTTAAATTTTTTTCCAATTTCATACTTTTTTTGGGGTGGGGATGTTTTCTTAAACTTAACAAGTTATACAGTGAATAGAAATTTTTAATCTATTAAAGAGTAGAGTACTGACATTTTTGTCCTTAAAGCTAATTTCACTTAAAGTAGGCAAATATTTTAAACCACTTAATTAATCAAAATCATTTAAATAGTTAGAGGACTTGTAAGGTAACTCAAATACCTTTCCATGTGGACTTGAGAAACTTGGTAGAGAAATTTTAAATCAAATTAGCTGGGAGAGAAAGATATATTTCCCCTTGGAAATAAGGCATGTATGACATTGCAGAGAATTTGAAACATGGAAGAAGATTTCTTAGAACGGCAGCATTCTGACCTTCCAAAAAGGGTTAGTCAAACTAAATGTTGACTGCATAATTTTTGAGCATGCAAACATGTAATCCCAAGCAACCTTTTTACTGATCAAATCTCAAAGGTTTGATTCCATTGTTTGAGATTTTCTGCTCTATAAATAGCCCATTAGAAAAGCTTTCAAAAAGCTTCTCAAATATTGATATCTTTCTTTATAAGTTTTTAAAATTACACTATAATGTTTTTTCAAGTTACTAGTCACCCAAAATATCTAGTTTTCAAACCACAAATAACAATAACCAGACCATCATTTTATTATCAAAATTAAAGAGTATGCTTCTTGAGCTTAACATTTTGTGGATTACCTATAATAATGGTAAAAAGACAAAATAGTACTTCAATGTAAGATTACATGTGGTGATAAACCTGTGAAATCTATTATTAAGGGAGTTTAGTCTTAAATGTCTAAATACGAATAAGATATTCGTAATTCAGAGAGTTTTGTGAAACATCGACATGGAAAAGTTGTTGAAGACCTTGAGAAGCATTTATTGTTTGTTATTTGTTGGTGTTCAATGAGACAAAAATCAAACTTTAATTCGTCAAAGGTTGATGGTGGACCTTAAAGCTTTTAGTTAGATATTTCTCATAATTTTTCTCTCATTATCTTCCTTTGACTCATTCTCTCTTTTGATGTGAGCAGAAATCCCCCATTTTATCAATATAATGTGAGATTGCTTTGGACATTTTTTGGATTGAGTTGATTCTAAAATGCTTGTAATTTTAATATACTTCCTAAGGAGATGTAGCTTCTTTGCATTTAGTTAAGGTCTGATGTCACTTGTCACATGCGTGTTAAAATATTTTTGTGCTCGCCATTTAAACCTACATCCTGAAGGAGATAACTATATCTTAAATCTAAAAGACAACAAGTCGTCAATGATCACAATCTATGTCATTAAGAATCTTCTTTTTTTTTTCATATCAGTAATTTTTTTGTCCTCTAGGGTTTGTAAGAACTAGATTGTGATCAGAAAAATTCCACACACAACTTTTCTTATAGTTTTTTTTGTTTCTAGGCCTAATTTGCTCACAAGATATCAACTTTTACACCACTTATTTATCTTCCACTAAATCCTTAGGAAAATACATATCAGATTGTGAGACATGAGTATTCTAAACACATTATTTCAAGAGCCCAACAAACGATTTTCCTAACTTCTACCAGATTTACAAATTTAGGGGGAGAAAATAGAGAACTACTTGTTCCGTGTAGATTCATGACTCTATGAGGACAAAATGATTGGAACATGGATTAACTACTAGCAGTCTCTTATGAATTATGACATGGATTAACTACTAATCCAATCAAAACATGAAGTAGAATGAGATACTTTTTGTTGAAGTTCAACTCTAACCTTCTTGGAGACTTGTTCCTATTATTTCATCATTAAAGAAGCTGTGTGACTTGTTCCTATTATTTCATCATTAAAGAAGCTGTGTGAAGGAGTCTTTGAAATCTTAAAGCAGCTAAGGTTATGAAGTATGAGATATAGGTGTAAAGACTAGCAATAGTTTTATGCAAACTCCTTGTAAAAGAGATGAAGGATGTAGCTCACTCTATATAGATGTTAAGAATAGCAACAATTAGATGCAATCTTCTAGTGACTAACTCTACGTAGTTGTACAATGAGTTTATGCCTCAATTAATGATACCAATTTTCACATAAAACTATTTGATTTAATCTCATATGGATATAATGATTGGTTTACCCTTGATTGAAATTCTTAATATCTATGAGCATAGGTTGTAACTTGTTTTGGCCTTCAGCAAATTTTGCTTAGAGTAAACTTTTTTTTTCAAATGCTCAATAATCATTATCATCTATAAACGTTTGGACCACTTAAGAGGTTACTAACATGCACTTGCATGGATGTGGTAATCATAAAACAACTCAAGGTCTCCAAAATGTTTAAATTAAATAAAAGAGATAGACCTTTTCTTCAAGATTTGCAACTTAAAGGGCCAAAAGAAACTAGCACCAACTGATCTTAGTTAAGATGTTAGAAGGGCCTTTAGGGTTAATTTACTCTAACTATTAAAAGCAGAACATGCCATGGCTCTTGACATTCATCTCCTTCTTTAGAAGCTTCAATCCCTTGTTTTTGTTGTTTGAATAATCTTTATTTTATGTTTTTTTTTGAATAAAATTAATGGAGTGAAAAAACGAGGAGCATTGAGTAACTAGGTGACCTTTCAAGAAATGGAAATTGTGTAGACATCCAGGAGGGGGGGGGGGGGGGGGGGCGGCCGTGTCGCAACGGCTAGATTACACCTGCGTCACGGTAATGCCAGATTCGCGCCTTTTTCCAAATACCACCCGTTGCGGCGGAGTATTGGCGGCAACAGGTGATACAACGGGTACGGCTTTTAGAAAGCCCCCCTTCCCCCAAGACTCTTTCTTGCATCTCCGCTACGTTATATATAACCTCTACTCTGCCCACCCCGCCGTCGACTATACCCACACATCTTTTCTCTCGTTCTTTCGCTCTGTTTCTCTCTCTCTCTCTCTCTCTCTCTCTCTCTCTCTCTCTTGTTCTCTGCCCGCTCTCTGTGGGCAGCTCCGGAGGCATTTTCGTGTTCCTTCTCTTTCATTCCTCTTGCGCCTCCGGCGTGGGGCGATGCTGGTTTTCCTGCATCGACTCCGAAGAAGTGAGTGGTAAAGCACGGGGGTGATCTGCAGGAAGACGAAGAGGGCGGATTCCGAGCCACCTTCTCCCGTCGGAGATATGCAGAGGGAACCACGTTTCCGGGCGCAACAGGGGCGCGGCTTCCGCCGGTGAGTACCTCTTTCCCTTCGTCCACGTATCTCCAAACCCTCTCCTCCTTCTTGCCATATTTTTCTTGGGGCGTATCGATCCTTTTTTTTTCTCGCAGTTGCCCTCCTCCCGTCCGAGCGGGCCTCTCGTTCCGCTCTCTCTCTCTCTCTATCTCTTCCCATAGTATAATAGAGGGCGCGTCTCCTAGAAAGGCTTATTCTCCTCGCTTCTTCTTAGGACCCCGTGTCCTGGGCGCTCACGGTAGCCTTTTTCCGCTTCGTCGGGTGACAAGAAAAGAAGCAGTTTGAGAAACAGAGGTTTTTCCCATTAGAAAGGAAGAAGGGACAGATGAATTCTTTCTCGCTCTTCCTACCCTCTGGGCTTCTTGAAATTCAATTCAAGCTCAAGAAGAACGAGAAAATTCTGGCGGTGGTGCGCAGCGCTTTCAGGGTCTGAGTCGCCCAAGTTGCTCCTTTGATTCTGGGTTCTCTCTTATAATCCCCGTCATCAGGAAGAGGAATGCGGTCCAGAGACCATCTCCGTTCACTGACGGAAGGGTCTGAAAATCCAATCCGCCGTCAGGGATGATCATAAGTAGGGTCATGCTCTCTTCTTTTCTGTCCACACACCTTTCAGGTGTCGATTCGGTTCAAAAACTGGGCATCCCGGATTCAAGTGCCGCTAAGTGTTCTCATTTTTCTTCTCTCTGCGCAGAGGTGCTCCGGGTATGGCATTGCGTTGGAGGGTCTATTCAGGGAGGGAGGAGAGCACGCTAATCGATGTGAGATCTCTCAAACCCACAAACTCTGATGGTCTTGCTGCTCGTGGATCACATAGATCGGCGGAGGAGGTCTCACTGGGGTTTCTTTGTTGCTTGTCTAAAACAGGACGTGCTCATTCTAAACGAATCGCCTCTCCTCGGCGGCCGTCAAAGCTCGCAGAGCCCTCGTTATAGGCAAAATCCTCACGAGGTAAAAAACTACGTTGCCCTTCTTCCTCTTAATCTTTTCTGCTGCCTCTGAGCTGCCGTCGGATATGTCTGAGAGAGAGGGTGCAATACTCGATCATTTGCTTCCCTTCCAGGCGCTTAAATCTAACCTGACTCGTCCTGTTTCCCTTGGCAGCAGCGCGCGAGAAGCTCGTTCAATCCCAGGCGATGGAGCGGGAATATGATGGTCGATGTAAGTTTTTTGATGACCTTACCCGCTGTGTTCCTCCTAGCTCTGACCGGGAGGCGTACAAGAAGCAGCCCCGCCTCCAATGCGCTGACTTTGGTTCCCTCATTGACTTTCTGTCTGCCTTAGGAGGTGATGATACTTGACGATGGATCGGCGGGGCTTCATGGAGCGGCGGACTTGATCCGGCGGCGCAGCCATCTTCTGCCAGGTATGCGGCCGCCGGAGGGAGGGCAGCAGACAAGAGTGGCGAGCTCGGGGTTAACCGAGGAGATGGCCTTGTTGCTCTTGAGGCCCAGAAAGTATGTACCCTCCACCGCCTGCGCCAACGACGAAACCTGCTGCATCTGCCAGGTAATTTCAGGGAGAAGACGGACGGTTGGTGTCGCCGCCGACCAGCCCAGCAGCTTCTCTGACTGCTCGATGTGTCTTTGTGCCTGGCAGGAGGATTACACCAAAGGCGAAGACCTCGGGATGCTGAGCTGCGGGCACGGCTTCCACGTAGCCTGCATAGGGAGATGGCTGACACAGAGGAATGTCTGCCCGATCTGCAGGAAGACCGCCTTCCTGCCCGCTGTGTGAAGACTCCCCTGTCTTCACCTTCCATGTATTTGGGCATTACATGATTCAAGTCACCGTCTCTAATTAATATCAGTAACAGTTGGCTTATTCACCATGTTTTATATTATCAAGAGATCACACCAAGGGTGATGGGACGTTGACTTTTTGGGGGTAATATACGGTGCAGCAATCACCCACTCCAAATCAGTAGCAAGGGCCTAGGAGGCTAACGATGAAGAGTTGTAGGAGGCTGTAGAAAGCCTCTCCGTTGACCAGACACTATTCAGGGGTTAAATAGTCAGTGCACCACCACAAGAGAAGACTAATCGTTGGTTGTGTTGCGCCATCTCACATGCAATGCCAAACATTGGTGATGGATATGAACCGATGTCAAAGCAGGGTCCTCCGTTGAGACCTAGGAGATATTTTCTGGGAGTTCAAGGAATAATTCTTCTCCAAAAACAATGATTCGATGGTATAGTTTAGCTATCTTCAACTATATTACTCCTTTTCAATACATAAAATCTTGAAAGATATTTTAGATGTATATATAATTTTATTTAAAATAAATGAAAAAAAATTCAGATTGTAAACTAATCAATGATGAACGTTCAGAACTAAGTAGCCATTGAAGATAAGCTGAACTTACAGAGAACATTAATTTCCAACCTTTATTTTCTTCTACTCTTTTTATAAGTTTAAATTCTAAAGTTATTTAAAAATTTGAAAAATTGAAAACCAAGAGAACACATCTTTTAATGATTCAAATATCCTTTAGGCTCAAATCAATAAACATATAAGTTAATAGTTCTACTATCTCTATTAAGAATCCACTCTCATATAAATAATATAAAAGATGCATTTCGTAGCGAAGTAATGTGTTTGCAATCAATTTAAATTTAAATTTCACCAAATAAAACGTGAATACGAAATATACATGTTGCTTATCATTGTAATGGGAAACGTCAATAATTTGAATACTCATTTGATAAAGTTATTACTAAATTAATATTCAATAATATTTAAAAAAATCTGAAAAGTGTGTAGCCAATGTTGATTCAATAAAATAATTTTATATCAAGAATGATCAGATTGAAAATTTCAACCAATAAATCAAGCATGCAAATTAAACTTATATCTTTCATATGTTCATGTGAAATGTAATGCACTAATCATTACTTTTCATCAATGATCATTTGTATAATAATTAGCATTTAAAATAGAAATAAAAAAAGTAACATTTTAAAGTGAAAAATTCACCAGAATTATAAAATTTTAAATATGATAATCAAAGAGATTTCTTGAAGTACCTTTTTGACACTAAGTGTCCCTAAGATTTAGCCGTTAAAGAAGAGAAAATTGTGTAGACGTCCCGGGTGGGGCTATACTGCCCCTGCGCCACTGGGTTAACAGATTCGCGCCTTTTTTTGCGTATCCGCCCGTTGCGGCGGGATACGCAACGGGTTCGGCTTTTAATAGCTCCTCCCGCCATAGTCTCTCTTACCGACTTCCTTTCTTTCTCTCTCTTTTCTCTCTCTCTCGCTCTCGCTCTCGCTCTCGCTCTCTGCCCGCTCTGTTGCAGCCCCGGCGGCGTCCCCTTGTTCCTTCTCTTTCGTTCTTCTTGCGCTTCCGGCGAGGGGGGTGCTGGTTTTCCTCCGCCGACTCCCTGGGAGCGAGTGACGGAGCACGGCGACGATCGGCAGGAAGACAAACAGAGGAGTTTCCGAGCCACCTGCTCCCATGGGAGATATGCAGTCTGGCCCAAGATTCCGGGCGCAGCGTGGGCGCGGCTTCCACCGGTGCGCATCTTTTTCACTCCTTACGCGTATCTCCGAGCCTTCTCCTTCTTCTTGTCATCTCTTTCTTGCCGCATATCGCTCTATCTATCTGTTCTTTCATCTTTCTTTGCCGATCCTTTTTTCTCTCGCACTCCCCCTCGCCCTCATCGCGTCCTTCCACTGCTCAGAGAGAGACTTGTCCTCGCCTGGTGGGCCTCTCGTTCCGTTCCCCCTCTCTCTGTCTCTCCAAGAAAGAGCCCTTCTCCTCGCTTCTTCTCGTTCAGGCTTCTTTTATTTCAATTCAAGCTCGAGGAGAAAAAGAAAAACCTGGCTGCGATGGGTGGCACTTTCAGGGTCTGAGTTGTCCAGGTTGATTGATCCCTTGATTTTTTCCTTGTACCGATTAAACTCGTATGAGCGCTTTCATTCCATTGGATGCCCGAAGGACTGCAGCCTGATTTTCTGCCGTCATCATCGATCAAAATCAGAGGATGATTTCTTTACCAGACTCCCTTCCTCCGCCGTTGATCCGGCTTGGAAACGGGACCCCCGGCATTGTTCAAGTGCGACCAAGTGCAGAATTCCTAGGGAAATAAAGTGACATTCCTTTTTTTTCACCTTGCGCAGTGGTGCTCCGGGAATGGGATCACATTCGAGGAGGGTCTATTCAAGAACGGTTCAGAGCACGCTAAACGACGTGAGTTCTCCCACCCTCGCAAACGCCGATCATCTTGCTGCTTCTGGTTCTCACAGAACGTCGGCTGTCTCATCGGGTTCTCTTTGGTTCTTGTCTGAAACAGGACGTGCTCATTCTGAACGAGTCGGCTCTCCTCGGGAGTCGCCGAGGATCACGGAGCCCCGGAGATATGGAGAGGCGTTATGGCTTCAGACAAGGCTACCCGCCTTCCTCTCACTTTTCTGCATCGGAGGACGAGCCATGGGCTTCCATCAGCGGGTTCCAACACATGAGCCCAAGTGAGAGCCCAGGTAGTCCATGGGAGGAGGCATACCCGATAGGCTTGGAAAGATGGTGGCTTCCAGAGCAGATGATGCCAGCTCAAACCATTGATCCTGAAATCCGGAGTTTGGGCATTATCAGCATGATTATCCCCGGAAACGTGGTACCTATTTCGCTCTTTATTCCCGGTTCTGGCGTTCTTCCGCCAGCAGCTCCGATTTGGGTGCCCCAAGAAGATCCAATGAGTCAGTATCTAGAGATCTCACCAGAGCCTGCTTCCGGGGCCTCTCCCCGCGGTGTCATGGGGCCCCCCTTGAACTTGTGGAATCATCAGGCAAGGTCTATGATGACATTTGAGGTATTTTTATGAATCAATCTCGTTCAATTTTGTGTGTTCTGAATCACGTTTCTTCTCATTCTCATCATTTGTATGTTATGATTTATAATTATAGACAATTTTTGTGTTGCCATGACTAGCATTAAGCTGAAATGATTGCTGAACTCGCAGAATTATTTACTGGCCTCAACCCCTCGCCCTTCCTCCCTCCTCAAAACAAACAAAAAAAGGAAGCAAAAGAAAAAGAAGAAAAGCTAAGAGCGTTGACCTGTGACTGGGATTTGATGTAACAAGGTCTCTGAAAATTATGATTCCCGTTCTCTCAATCAATGAGCTTCTAAAAGATGCTGAAACTTTCTCTGGAACTACGCACATCTTGGAAAGTCGCGAAAAGCTGCCGATTTACCCGTTCAGATCTGATTTCGCACTGTTTGCCTTAAAACCTTACAGTAGATGCGAGTTTTTTCCAACTTTGCATCATCTGAGGATCAATAAAAATTCATGGTGGAGCATCCTAAATTCTTTGATGTTACTGCTGCAGCCTTTTTTATTGCTTTCTACCCCCATAAGGGAACATTAATTGGGTTCACTCTTATCATCTGGTCCACTCTCCCAACTAGCAGCACTGTGTACCATGTTTCTTTAGTCTTACTTTGTGTGGTTTTACTATGCAGCAAAGCCCAGATTCTGCCGACTTCATGCAAATGGAGGAATACATGATGATTGACGTGAGACCTCATTAAACATGCTCTGATTCAGACTACTTACTTGTGTTGGTAACATACATTTTCTTAGCATTCCATCCCTCTTTCGGCAGGATGCAATGACTTTGGATGAGTCTGTGTACCATAACATGCATCAAGACATGCGCCTCGACGTCGATACCATGTCATATGAGGTTAGATGGTCAAACCCAGTCATTTCTAGCTCCTCCTTGTCCAGGATGCATGTAGTCAACTCCTCGTGGGAAATTTTTATTCGTTCTTGGCAGGAGCTGTTGGGACTGGAGGAGCAGATTGGGAATGTGAGCGCGGGGCTGACTGAGGACACTGTGCGGAAGAACTTGAAGCGAAGGAAATACCCATCTTCTGCAGCCTACATGACAGAATCATGCTGTATCTGCCAGGTAAATTACCAAGAGACCATCTTGCTATCCATGTATCTGGCAATTTTGTCGGGTATTTACTACTTCCTTTATGCATGGCAGGAAGATTATGCCAATGGTGATGATCTGGGGGTGTTGACTTGTGGGCATGACTTCCATGCTTCTTGTGTTGGAAGATGGCTGGTTCTGAAGAACGTCTGCCCAATCTGTAAGAAGACAGGTTTGTCTACCTAAATCACGACTACTTTTGGGCTTCTTTCCTCCTTCACTCCATCTGTCTGCTGTTTTTTTCTTCCAGTGTATATCTATATACATACATATACTTGTGTGAAGATCAAATTTATGAATCGCTTGGCTTTTATTCTTCATTTAATTCCATCAGTACGGTCTCGCCTTGTTTGTTGTCTGGGTTAGAGGGAAATTATGACTTGCTTTTCTTGCTGATTGTTCACTTTGTATTGGGGGCGTCTATCCTGCTTAGCATGGTTGCTGATTATCCGTTAGCAATGTGTTTATTTTGGCTTTAAGTAGGTACAAAACGTTTTGTTCCAGTCATTCTTTCTGCACATCGGCTTGCTTCAAGGCATATTTTCTGTAATATTTTTCTTTAATAATTTGCGTCTCTTAGACTCAACAAGGCATCATAAAATCTGCAAGAAAGGTATCATCTTAGTTAAGTGACAGTATGGATGGAGATAGTACTGCAAACTTAGTTCTTTACCTATTTCCTTGCCTCCCCCCACCGCAAACTTTCTCTCTTTTTGGCTGCACCACCATTTCTTCTTGAGAGCTGACTCTCTGATTGCAAGCAGCCAAGATGCCAAGATGCCAAGATCAAGTCAATGTTCACTCGAGTCTACCCAAGAAAGAATCTACCACTAGAAATAACAGGTATTTATCTGAGTATAGTTTGCTTCAGAGCCTTGCAGATGGCCCCGAGGAACAACTAGCAATGAAGAGGAGAACAAAATTATGTGCGTGGTGGTGGGTCTCCATGGCTGCCTTACATCCCTGCGCCACAGGATTACTAGATCCAAACTCTGGGGGAAAGAAAAACTCGCCTTTTCACCAGTTACAAAGGAGTTTTGGAAGATACTCGTAATACAATGGCTTTGGTCTTTTAAAAGGCCTTCTCACCTATATTATGTATAAACTTTGCTCTGCTCGTCGCTGCCACCACTGACTGTAGTACCCTTTTTGTCTAAGTGATTGTGTACGTTTCTTGAGTTCCTAGGACTGAGGTTTCTAAAGATATTTCACACCCTATTACTATATAATGATTTGTTCATTAGATCTATAGTTTATACTCTAATTACTATATTCTTCGCCACTTTCCTCAGCTTCACTAAATCATTAGTAGAATCCGTACTATATTCAACAGATTTAACGAAGTTAAGATGTTACTCAAGATTTCTCTATTAGATTAACAAATTTAGAGGCCAAATCAGGGAAGAGCTCAATCCTCAAGTCTATGTTAATACTTGACTTTCTTCTTTCCTCAAGATTCGCAGTCTAAGTGGCCAGATGTAGAACACTGAGCTTTTATGTTTGAGCTTTCTTCTTTCTCTATTAGTTTCAACATAGAACTGCTACTGTGAGTCTCCTCTGGATTAAGGTTCTTGATCACTGGTGGGTACAAGTACACTCTAAACACAAAATCAAAATGGGTTATTATTCATTGGAGTTCAGATCTAAGGATCTTAGAGAGCTGTTTCTTTGTTATTATCGTTGAAGAATTTTATGTGGAGTCTGTGAACAATTTGAGCAGCAGCAGGTGCGTGAAGTTTTCAGGTACTCAAACTTGTAGTAGTTTGGTGTAGACAGACACCTTGGAGGAAGGTGCAAGTTGACGTTATCTCTACATATTTGGTGGTGCATCACTCCCATTGTTCCTTTTATGTACATTTACATTGTTTTAGAGATCTTCGTATTCATACAGAGTTTAATGCACTGCTTCCGACTTTCAGATAGCAGGTTTCTTCAATGGTCATATTCTTTGCCTTCAACTTAAATTCTAGAAGGGAATATTAACGTTGTAAAATCCGTAAAAAGTCAATACTTTTGACCTGCGTTGAGTGGTTTGTTGCATTTTGCTCGTCTTCAAGAGAAATTTGAAATCCGTTTGATTCTCAGATTAGTGACACTAAAATTTCATATAAAATTATTTATGTTAACATTATTGATAAATAATATTTATTTTTACTTTAATTTATAATAACTAAATATATTTCAAGTAACTACTAACGTTTCTGCCCTTGAGTGGATTTCACATTAAATAGATAAAACTTGTAACATAGTCAGTAATAAGATCATCTATAGGTAACCCTGCCAGTTAAGAAGTTACTAAGGTACCTTTATATAGTTAAATGCACAAAAATAGTTTTATTAAAAGTAGGAGACTTGTTCAAGATTCATGACCCTAGAGGGTGAAGCTTGAATAACACTCATTAATCTCCTCAAGGTTGTGGCTTTACATCAGCCATAAGTGCTAATCACTCTAACATTAAATGATATAACAAAGTCATTGCTCTCCTCATTTTGAGAATCTCTATCTCCTTGTTTTCGTCCTAAAAAATGTAAATGACATGACACTTGTGAGGTAAAAACGTATTTTGACATGATAGTAGATCTCTAAGATGAGAGGCATATTGATCTCAAAGACGAGATCGCATAATTTGTGGGTCTACTCACGTATGGAATTGAGCAATTTTTAACCAATTTGGTCTCATTCATATATTTGATTTCAAACATATGAGATTTTGTTCTCTATAAACACCCTATTGCAAGAGCTGTAAAATAGTGTGTAAAAATCAAAAATCTTACCTTTTAAGTTTTTTTGAATCCACTTTAGAAAATATGTTGGGTGTTTTCAATTTCCCAAAGCCATTGTTATTGCTCAAATTACCAACAACAATGAGGCTATCATTTCCTAGTCAGAACTAGAGTGTATGTTTTGTGAGCTTTATGACTTATATATAGACACTCTTAGAGGCTAGTTATGGCAATCGCTACGAAAGAAGCTAATACTTTTGTATCTAGTGTGGGGTGGTAATTGTGAAATCTATCATGTAATAGATTTTCTGATCTCATATACTTGTAAATCACTTAAGAGAATAGGAGGGCTGTGAATAGGAGGATAACTTTGTAAAGCTATTTTCATCAATATTTATGCCATAAAAACTTCAGGATATATTGTGGTATATCAAGTCAATGTGGTAATCTATATATATTTTATTCAGTTGAAATCATGCAGATGTTGTACTTAGCAACACAGGTTAGCATGTACAATCTCCATTAACAGTCTTTCATGTCCATCAACACAAGTTTGTAGAAAAAGGTTTAAACATCTATATCCACACTGTACACTATAAGGAATCTATCATACATACAAGTGAAATGTATGTTTTAGTCTCTTTTATATTCTTTGTTTATTAATGGTAGGGTTTATGCGGTACTAATTTAAGAATTTCATGAGGTACTAATTTAAGAATGACTAATGTGAATTTTTAGTTCACTATGTAGCTTTGAATCTAAATGAGTGTTGGGAGGCCTTTGGACTATTTGAAATCATGATTTTGTGAGGACAGGTTGATGCCTTGCATCAAACTTATTACAATAAGAGGATAGAAGAACCTTAGGAAGGTATCTCTTAAATATACATGGGTTTCAGCCCTCATTCTTCCCTCCCCCAAGTTTTAGTCATCCTTTCGGCTGCACCATTTGCATTTGCAAGCTTGAAATGTGTCCTAATTATCCCTTATGAGAGTTGTAGTGATTCTCCCTTTGTTCTTTATAGCTGATCAACCTACCACATCATAAGATCAAGTTAACGACCATATCAAGAACTTACTACTGAATATAGTAGGTCTTTATTTCAATGTAAATTGATTTAGGAAATCTCCAACTGTTGCAGAAAGAGATCTGGGATGTCCACCTGTTGCAAAGGTGTCTAGTTGTGGGCAATACATGATATATTCAATCAGTTCAATTTCTGGGAGGCTTTCTCTCCTCCCCTAATACTCTTGTTATATTAGGGGCTCAAAATCAGTGGAGAAACTTGCTTATTTCCTTTAAATTCATGACTCTAGGAGGGCTAAATAGAAAAGACCCACTAGCCTTAGATTTACGACACTAATTGTCCAACATAGATAATTGGCTTCCACGAGCTACCTTTAGAGTGTGGCTTTATACCAGAGTTAGTGTACGAATGCACTCTAAATTTGAAGTAGAATAAGTTATCATTCATAGGAGTTCAACTCTAGTTATCTTGTCACCTGATCCCTCTAATCCTGTTGTTGGAAAACCTTGTGTTAAGGATTCTTTGAAACCTTAAAGTAGCAAAATTTTACATAACGTTAGAAATGGGTGTTCAGACTAGGAATAGTTAAGAGCAAACTCCCTGCAAGAAGGTTGTACAATGAAACTCAATCTATAATAAATAAGCTGAGAATTCATTCTTCTTATAAGAAAGATATGTGAGTAAAGGTTTCTCTTTATATATATATACCTAACTAGGCTGCTTTTGGTTTGAATGATATTAGGAGACTTCATTAGTTGCTGAATGGTCTGAAATATGTCCCACCATCTGCTTGCATTTTAAACTATAGAAAGGGTTACTAAATTTATAAAATTGATAAAAATTCAATGCTTTCAAAATTCCATCATGTGGTTTGTTGGATTATGTTTTCGATTAGTTCATGTCTCAATTAGTGAAACCAATTTTAACAATAATGAGTATTTTACTTTAAGTAAAATTCGTATTATATATAGCATATACAGCCAAAGGTTATGGCATGTTTTTTCCTTGGGTTAATTTCCCTTTTAGTAAACTATTTTAAAACACCCAGCAATTAATATTACCTATTTTTAGAGTAATCAACTCACCATTTCATAGATGTGATCATCATCGAAACAGCTCGAGCTCTCCAAAGCCTTTTGGATTTAACAGAGATGTCTCACTCACTCCTCTATTCAAGCTTCATAACTTGATGAGGCTGACAAAGATTAGCATCAACTATTCTCCTCTAGATTAAAACTTTAGATGGGTCAATCTTTGGTTTCTTACATATTTATTTTTCTATAAAATTGACTCATAACAACCGTAAAGAGGGGTACAATAACGTGAATTTTAACCGGAGTGGAGGGATCACCCCTGCGCCCCTGGATTACAAGATTCGCGCCTTTTTCTGAAGAAAAGATCCGGCGTATCCGGCCGTTTCGGAAGGGGCCAAGAC